ATTTAGCGCGGGTGTCATTAGGAAGGGAAGGGGACTTCAACTCTGTTTATCATGTATAGCGCAAACAGGAAGAAACAAGCCAAAAACCCGAAAAGGTTGATTTCCATATGATCGCTGCGAGCGTTACCGTCGCTGCCGTCGTTGCGATCATTACAGAAGAAGTTGACCGATCTCACTATACGGTGACTTGGTTTTTCAGAATACATGTAAACAATAAGTAATTTCTCCATCAATTGTATTCACACATTTTCTCTTGGTTTAGCGAGACCAAGGAAAGCATTTGTTACGCATCAACCAACCTTTGCAAACTCAATGGTTTTGAGAAACAAAATTAAAGCGATAACAATAGCGTCCGCCGTTCATTGTTTATCTGTCCCGCCTACTCTAGCATAATGAGTTGTGTAATATTCCCTGCGACGCATAGCATGCGTTCTTAGCAACCAATGAATTCAGTTCTGTTTGATCGTTCATGAATAATAACGCGAAATAAAACAGATCTAGAATCTCTTGAACTGCAAGTATAAATGTCGCGAGAACGATAGCCATTCTGCTCGATGTGTATGAAGTCAAAACTCTCATTGTAGAAATGCCCGCCGCCTTGGAAAACGCGGGCTGTTTGCCAGTAAAAGCAGGTGTTCTTTAACATGTTTATCAAGTTTTCTATATTAACGACGTTGTACTTCATTTTCTTATTTCGTTTTTTCGAACAAGCCCTGTGGAGAATACCGCGCAAATCTTTGCCTAAATTGTCAGATTTGACTTCGTGCGTATATCTACATATTGATTTAAGGAAACTGAGAGAAAAAAGCAAGCTCATTCTACACTTGTCACTACGCAAGTCGGCATTTTGAATTGTTGGTGGGTGATGGGGAAAAAGTAGACTGTAATGCTGGGCGTGTAGAGGTTGATGGAAGGGGAAGGGGAAGGGGTAAACTTTTAGAACAATGCGTTTCCTTGTTCTGTTTTACCCCCTTCCCGAGCACCCTGCCTGTCCCGCTTGTTATGTATCAGCATGGACAGTATGAACATTACTAAGGTCCCATTACCAAACAGTCTCTGACCAACCTGCATACAGAAGTGTTAAAACGAATGCAGAGGAGCAGTACGGGTGATAGCTCTTTTAAAGATCGGGGGTGGACGGATTTAGCGCGGGTGTCACTATGAAGGGAAGGGGACTTCAAATCTGTCTTTCTTGTATACCGAAAACAGGGCGAAAACAAGCCAAAACCCGAAAAGGTTGATTTCCATGTAATCTCTTCGATCGTTACCGTCGCTGCCGTCGTTGCAATCATTACAGAAAAAATTGACCAATCTCACTATAGTGACTTGGTTTTTCAGAATACATGTAAATAATAAGTAATTTCTTCATCAATGGTATTCACACATCATAATTAATTTCAAAACTTCATTTACAGCAAGTTAAAAGGCTTAGCTTTACAATGTACATGGTAATTATTAGCATTTAAGCAACTTAATTAACAAAGATGATAATAAATGACTCAGTTCACAGCGGTGATCCTACATTTTTTTTAACGACATAAGAGATCATCTTAGTTATTGTTCGCACTTCCAGGCAGTTGCAAAAATAAAGCCTGGAGAAAATTCAGGCCTGAGTGAGTTTGCAACTCATAACCTCAGGCTCGAGCTAGTTTCAACTCATAACCTCTGCGATACCGGTGCAGTGCTCTACCAACTAAGCTATCAAGCCAACTGGGAGCTGGTGTTGTTGAGACTCCACTCTAACTTACCAAGTTTGATAACTCATAAATCTTTCAACTATATGAAAGTAAAAAGTCCGAACTATCATAATCAGATCAGGTTCGCACTTCTGATCTATCGAAAAGCTGTCACAAATGTTCGTGCACAGCAAATTATATACTACTATTTTAGGAGGATCTCTGAATGATAGAACTTTAGGTGGCGTTGATACACAATTCACTATACAATTTCAAATTTTGTCTTT